CCAATCTTCACTTCCCTAGAGACGACCTCCCACAGTTCACGCCCCTCGAGCACCATCTGCATCTTGAACTTCCAGGCGTGGAAGTTGGTCCCATCAAACTTGTTGATGCGTCTCAGCGACGAGTGCTCCATCGCGAACGCGTAGTCGGACGCAGAGTTTGAGGTGGCGGGGCTTGGGCTCATAACCTAAAGGTTATTGGAGAGGTTGGAAGTGCTTGAGTGGTTTGATGCAAAACGCAAAGTGACTCATTTGGTCCATAGTTCGCTACACTACTCTAAGCTTAATGTTTACCCTCCGGATACAATCTACTTGATTCATGATTTTCTGCAGCCAATCAGAGCCTGAGACCAGCTTCAACTGCATCCAATCACCGAACTTCAACTGCATCCAATCACAGGAATGACGGTAGTATCGCGACTGATGGTCATACCGGTATCTTATCGGTATACCGCAGTTGGTCGAGGAGTCATATTGACAACAGGCAATACATGCACGGTGGTCGGAGTCTACGTCGACGATCTGCTCGTCAGAGGGACTAAGCCAAGCGCAGTGGACAACTTTTTTACGGACATGGCGTGTCTGTCGATCAAGGATCTGGGCGTGGTGAACAAGTTTTTGGGGCTTCGCATCAAACTGGACGAGTCCAAGGGGTACATTCTGGACCAACAAGTGACGATCGATTCACTATTGAAGGAGTTCGGATTGGACTCGGCGAACGGAGTGAGGAATGCGATAGGCGACGAATGCAACCTCGAGGATGAAGATGCTCAAGAACTTCTGTCAACGAGAAGTGCAAAAAACGATTGAAGCCTGAAGTCTTTCCAGTCGATGGTGGGAAGTCTACTATGGATCGCAAGGTGCACGCGGCCAGACATTTGTTTTGCGGTGCACAAGGCAACGAGACAAACACACAAGCCGACGGTCAAGGATTGGAAGACTGCCGAAAGGATCATGCGCTACTTGAAGATGTCAAAGGATCTGAAGCTACATCTGAGCGGTGATGGATCGGCATCCAAGGACATGCGTATTGAAAGCTGGAGCGACGCGGACTTTGCGGCGGATAAGTCGGACCGGAAGTCTGTATCGGGTTGTGTTCCGACCATGGATGGATCTGTTGTTTTTTGGTCGTGCAAGAAGCAGTCTGGAGTATCGCTGAGCACCATGGAGGCAGAGTTCATCACGGCGTCTTGTGGTGGAGTGGGTTCTCAAAATTGTATGATGAGACCCCAAACCACTCACTGTGCCGGACTGCCGATTGTCGGAGGGGGTACCCCGATGCCGCGTATGGACCTTCTCTCACCTTGTGTACCCGTCGGCTGGCGGGTTGCACTCTTCGGAGGACTTGGTGAAGATGTAGACGTCTACATTGAGGGAGGTAGACCTGGGGGGGGGGGCCTCGAGTGGATATGCTTCACTCTGTGGGCCGGTAGGTGTCCACTCGATCGACCTGGTCGAGAGTGGACTTAGAGCCAAATTCTTCAGGGAACTTATCCCTGGCCTTTTCCTTCTTGTTTCAGGGGTATCAACCACCTGACCTTTACTTTGCTCCCGGACCGTGAGGTAAGGGAGGCCGCTTCCGATAGCGGGTCTTGGGGGTGCTTCTACTCGAACGAGCTCACAGGCCAAATTTATCCTGGAGCCCTATCCTTACTTGAACTTCGCTACACAACTGTCTTCGACGGGGCCAAAATATATCCCTTCCCGGAACAGTGAGTAACTTAGAGCAAGTTCTTCTTGGGTGACGGAGTCGTGCCACGTAGATCGCAAATTGAGTAGTATGTAATATAGTCCTATCCTTTTAACTCCTTTACTCTATCCTTGCCTGAAGCTCTGATTGCTTGCGTCGACTAGTCTGATCCTTGTATTAACTGGTCCGGAGTGGCTGAACCCCGAAGGGCCGAGGTCGATCGCCGAGGGACCCAGGTCTACCAACGAGGGACCGGGTCGACCAATGAGGGACCAGGTCGACCAATGGGGGACCCAGGCCTACCAACGAGGGGCCGGGTCGATCAATGAAGGTCCATGGTAAACTCCCTTCGGTACCAGTTAACCGGCACACTGATACTGATTTTTTCTTCTGTGGGTCCTGCAGATTGTTCTCCACCAACGGTCGCTCCCCTTCGAGGCCCCTGTCTCTCTGGTCTCCTGTCCCTGACCCACGGTCTATACTCCGAATCCAACTGGATTATGGGGTCCCCACATCACATAAACACAGTCTCAAGCCGAACGCGAACTACTAGGGATGAAGGCACTGTTCGAAGATTGAAGTTGAACGTGACCAAGCCGATGCCAATGTGGATGGACAACCAAGCGGCTATCAAACAGATCGAGTCGGAGAAGAGCACGTCAAGCGCTAAGCACGTGGACATCAGGTTCAAGTTCATCAGCAACTACGCGAAAGATGGGATAGTGGCCCCAAGGTTTGTCAAGTCCCAAGCCATGATAGCAGACATTTTGACGAAGTCATTGCCGGCGCCAAGAATGGAAGAGCTACGTAAATTGCTCGGTTTGAAGACCACTCAGGCTGACACCGAGGAGGAGTATTGGAAATTTCTGTTTAGAAACGTCTTGTTAGTCATTGTTGTGTTGCAGGTTCAACTGCTATACCATGTGATAGTGACACCTGATTGGTCGAGCCCACGAAAGACTTGACAGATGGTGAGGCGAGACGACGACGGTGACAGATGGTGAGACAAGGCGGCGACTGTGACAGACGTCGTAACAGATGTTTTGATAAGACGGTGCCGAACAGGTGGCGGGAAGAGGCAGCGACATGACCTGTTGGGCGACATGGCGACGGCTCATAAGATAAGAGGAGAGACGGACGCAATCATGTTATGGTCAAGTTGCAGTGCATGTTATATTGCAGTGTTAGCGAACGAAGATAACATTTTAATATATTCACTTCTACTTTTACCTCTTCGCACACAAGTGCAACAAAGTTCCAAATCGCAACTTTCCTACACTTACGCGTCTTGTTACTTTCCATTGCGATATTCACATTGTAACTTATTTTATTGATCACGTATTATTGCAATTTGAAATCATCAGAAATATTCTTTGGCGTAAGCTATATTTATGCAATAAACATTTGGAGTTCTTATAAAGTTTGTTATAAATGATTTTCGTGCAGGCTTAGACGACCTATGACAAAATGATGTATGAGACTGGCGTGGATACAGATGTATGAGACTGGCGTAACTACAACAATTGTGATTAGTAAAGTTCAATTGGCGCGAAAGCATTAGTGTAGAAAGTATAGCAGCGACAAGTCTGCAAAACGTTGCAATCAATTCCTTAAGATTGGCATAATCGGGAGACGTAAAAGCAAATTCCACCTCGCCTCGCGTCATGCAACTAACGAACTAATAAAAACACAAGAGATTCATCAAAATCTATTGTATTCTACCGTCGTGAACGCAAAAAGAAGCAAGAGGAACTTTTTTACGATAAGTTTTTAATCAAGCAAATCCCGATATGAATAGTATTGGTATTTAAATTACCTTGCAAGTAAAACATGTCAGGGTCAAAGGATAGTATCTAACCAGTAGTCGTCTTATATTGCTGGCACTTCGTGGAACCACTACACCTTCAACGGCTTTACAATGGGTAATCTTATAATCAATTCATCCTCTTTGCTATGTCATTTTATTGTGTAGGGTTTCCTTACGCCAAAGTGTAGTGTTCTTATTATCGCACGGTTCTATAAGATTGCTAGAGCAAGGAAGTTGAATACTATTGGTTGCGCACGTAAACACAAGTCCAGAGCGCTTCCGTCCGTGTAAGCACGGCACAAACCAATTTGATACCGCGCTCATTGAGCTAAGTTAGCACCATTATGCATCGATAAACTATCATATCAATCTAACAGTCCTGATGAAGAGGAGGCAAACGCAATATTGTACTTAGAAATTAAGAAACAAATCTAGAATGGCTATGCTTCCTATGAACTATTCGCCTTGTTGTGAATATGCGTGCAAATTTATCATACTGGTTTGATGATACGAGCTGCAAACGAGGGTATGCGGAAGAATCCTGTTATTACCATTATCGAAGATATAAGATCGATAGGTCGCTGCAGGTCTGACCGTAGTTATCGGCACTAAAGAGTCGTAAGGTTAGCCATACCCACCGTAGCCCTACCGCTGACGTACCAGTAGCTTAGTCGTAGGCTTTAAGGGGTTCCTTCATGACGGTAGCCAAAACCATCGCTAGCCACCGACGTGGATTATGAGTACCCACCATAGCCGTCATGCCCATGCCGTACTCATCATAGCAATGGTCGCAGCCATCGTAGTCGTCGCCTTTCCCAACGTAGTGCCCCTTGAAGTCACCCCTCACCTCTCGCGCAAGCGACAGATCTGCTGCTAATTTTGATGGTCGTCGTCTCAGTCGTTGCTGGTGTGGGGGCTGGTCGTCCACATTCCCGGTAACTTGACTGTTACCATGACTGCCAACACTTTATATTATGGCACCTATACACCCACATCGAATGCCAACACTTTAGACATCTTCAATATCGGCGGCTGCAGTAGTTTTTGAAATAACAAGGCTTCCTTGGAGGAAGATCGACTTGTATGCGTACAATTGGCAAGGAGCATTTTTACTTGGTCATCGCTCGACATCGGAAGCGAATGCTTGCAGTACAAGCCTGGTCAGTCTCTTTTGTGTATTCTCTGGTTGATACATCATCAATCTTTGTTTCTTCGCCAACTTGAGTCGCAATTGACACAGCCTCAGTTGTTAAGGCAAATAACGATTCTCTCGACGATTCTCCAATCCATCACTTTGACCAAGACAAAACCAGATTCACGACTTCTATGGCATCACTTCAACATCCATGACAAACAGAGACTAACAACTCTCTGCAACAAAACCCCGCTACACTACAGTGTCCTCGGCCACTTCTCGCTCTCTCACTTCTCGGTTTGCTTTCAACTCCGCACACAGCAAGCAATCGCACGCATACCTAACTAGAAACTAACCTCTCCATTTCCAAGATGCACTCCAAGACCCTCGTGCTCGGCCTGTGCGTCGTCGCCTCTGTCATGCAGACGACCGACGCCCGTGGCGCTCCTGGACTCATCCCGCGTCGTCAACTTGGTTCGTACAAGGACTACGGACACCACTCGCACAAGCACGACCACCACAAGAAGCATCACCATGATGACAAGGGTCACTACCATCGTCGCCGCCTTGAAGACGCCAAAGCTACTGAGTCCTCGGACTACAGCTACGGTAAAGACGACTACAAGAAGGACTACTACAAGAAGGACGACTACGACTACAAGGGATACGGCTACAAAAGCTACGGACACGATGACTACGACTACAAGGGCTATGGCTACGGACACGATGACTATGACTACAAGGGCTATGGCTACGGTCACGACGACTACGACTACAAGGGCTATGGCGTCGGCTATAAGAGTTATGGAGATGACTACGGTGATGATTACTACGGCAACGACTACTACAGCTATGGCAAAGGCTACGGCAAAGACTGCGGCAAAGGCTACAGCAATGACTACTACAACTACGGCAAGGGCTATGGCAAGGGCTACGACAGCTACTACCCCGATTACTACTCGTCGTACGGCGGTGACTTTGGCTTTGGTGGCTACTACCCGGACTATTACTCGTCGTACGGCGGTGACTTTGGCTATGGTGGCTACTACCCGGACTACTACTCGTCCTTTGGCTACGGCTATGGCTACCCTAGCTACGACAACGGCTTCGGCTATGGCTACCCTAGCTACGACAACGGCTTCGGCTACGGCTACGGCTACGGCTACCCCGGCTACGGCTACGGCTACTCTGGCTACGAGTCTGCTTCAGGTGCTGGTGCTGGCAAGCAGGAATCTGTGACGGTGTCTACGGACAATGCCAAAAGCGAGTCGGCAAAGAAGGAAAACACGACGTCGGAGTCGTCGTCGAAGTCGAAGTCGAATTCGAAACCAAAGGAAGCCAAGTCCGATGCTGCGGACAAGTCGAAGAACAAGTGAAGAGTTTAGTAGAGCTAAGGATGTGAGAAGTGTACGGCGGGTAGCGTTGCGGCCCGCACAATGTGTAGCGTAGATAAAACTGATAGCTTGAACAATACAAAGCCAATGAATGTTCACGTTGAAGTCGTTTTACGGTTGTCTTTGGGGGCGATCAGAACGTGTTCAATATGCTCTCTCTTAACTTTCCCTCTATAACCACTGTGGTTCTGCCTAAACGTTAGGCGTATAGTCCATCGTAGGAGATCATTGCCTATCGTAACCCGCCGTTGCAGACTAAAGCATCATACTGTACCCAGCACGCGAATAACACATGGTTTAGTACATGCTACTGTAAGCTCTAAGCAACGCAAGGAGCAGCAGCTTTTGCGAGTTCAACAAGAACCAGAAAAAAAATCGAAATTTTTGGGGACAGATTCCCAGCACAATCACGCCAGTTGGAGTTACGCTTGTACGCTACCTCCCTCCACAGGATTGTTGACTTATAAAGAAAAGTGAATATTGGTAAACATTGCAAAACGAAGAGTAATGTGCTTTCAGACTGGTCTTCGCCCTACAATGCAGTAAAAAGCACTTAGACGGCCAGCCACGCCCCTACTCGCTTACATCAGAGCTGACGTTACCGTGGACCATTTCTTGTCGCTATGCGCTCACATGGTGCTCATTAAACGCAACCCCTCTCTAGCGTAAGCAATGGTGTGTCGTCATCAAAGATGCAGTGATGCGTCCACTGAACTTCGCCAATCAGCGGCCAGATTATAAGTGGAACGCAAGAACGACGCAAAGATGGGCGCTCCCTATAGCCCAGTCTGCTCTTCCTTACATGAATGGATAGAGAATATCGAATCCAAATCTCAGTTCTTTCGTCTCACGCACGGTAGCAAATAGACTCTCGTGACATGTCAGCTGTCGCGCAATCACCTCGCCACATTCTTTGAAATCAAGACGTAAACTTGTTAATGCCTTGGAATGACAGCTCCATATCCAATTCAATTGCAGCATGAGACAAATTGTTGTGCCGTTACAAAGTGTCAGACATTCAAAGACGATTACGATACGTTTTGTCAGGTTTGACTTCGTAAATTCTCGAAGCGACAAAGCGACCTGGGAAAGGGCGTCGTATCGTTTCTTCCATTGGCTGAAATCAAACATGTTTAGAGTGCGAGTGGATTAGACCGATTGGCGGTTGAAAAAACGAACGTGAACCCGTCCCCTTTAGCACGGTTTTCTATGGTAATATATATCTTCCTGTCCTTTCTCTTATCTTCTCTATTGCATTTGCAAGGTATTTATACATACAGACCGGACCAAATTTTTCTCATATAAACAAAAAAATTGTGATTATTCTTTTCCCGACCCCGCTATTGTCAGCATCATCAACACTCGCCAACCCGCTTGGTGTGGATAAGACCAATCGAATACTTTTTTCTTTACAGACAGACCCATGGGACCTCTTGCAGTCCAACAAACGCCATCTCGGAGACGCAAGACCTCTACGACCTCTTCTTCATCCGACTCGTCGCCTCCGCACACAATGGCCAGTCCAGCCGTGTTCCCACCATTGAATTTGCACTCGACGTCGTCCACCAGCAGCGCTCGACGCAGTAACTTTATGCCACGTGCAGCCTTTCCTCAAGGCGACAACAATAACGAAGATGTCGATCGTCGCAATGTCACGGCACTTACGATCGTGGATCTACTTGCTCGTGCCGATACTGCGGCTGGTAGCAAGGCCAATATCAACAAACAACAGCAGTCTCTGCCTTCTTTGCGTTCGCAGAGCAACAATTTGACGAGTAACCCGTCACTGCCTTCGCTACCCAAGATGGTGGTCCCGTTGCTACGTGGAGACCAACGATTTTCCTTTCCGAGCAATTCGGGCGGATATTCAACAAAGACACCGACGTCTTCGGCCGTGCTTCCAAACAGCTTATCACCTTCTGCACGACTCATGTCAATGTCTGCAGCTGCTGGTACTTCACAGTCAACAGATCCCAGTCTACCCAAGAGGGCCCGAGCTGCCACTGCTTCGGGAGCAGTTAACAACTCTCGGAAAAGACAGAAGGATGAGCTGACACGACTCCGTGCACAGGTGCAGGAACTACAGCGTGAACTAGAACACGTACGCTCAAGGATGCCTCGGAAATCACGTTCCACTTCAGTGGTTATGAATACTGAAATCAAGATTGAAGATGGACGACATATGGAACGGTCACATCATTCTCCTGTAGCAGTCACTGCTGCACCTCTTATGGGGTTAGAGGCTGCTGGTGACTGTACTAGTGGACTGATGGTAGTACCGGTGTGGGAACGCATGGCGCACCACCAGAAGGAGGAGAAAAGCAAGGCCGAGATGGAGAATTTGCGTCTTAAGGGTCTTATTCAAGAACAGCTCAAGATCTCCAAAGGTCTTGAGAAGCTATTACGAAAGAGATGCAAGTCGTCCATGAGCTCAGGATCTGATGTCGAGACCTCTGCAGTTGGTCTCGGAGTCAAGCGGCCTCGTACAAGCGACACGGCGGAAACGGCCGTGTTCGCGTCATTGGCTTCTGGCTTGGATGCTCGACTTGCTGAGATGGAGGCGGTGTTTGAAAAGGGAGGTCTGACGCGGGACAAGCAGGAGTTACAAGAAACACAAATGATCCTTGACGAACGTCGTGGACCAGTGATGGAGGTCAAGGACGCCAAGATTTTACCATTTGACGTGAAGGCATGCGCGGCCGCAGTTTGGCAGTCCATGGAAGCTGAGTCAGAGGCAACAGTTGTGGGAGGTGCATCCGGCGATACTCTCTGTTTTAAAAGCTATATACCCCTCCGGCAGCACCGAGCACCTGATGCCGAGCTCAGTGTCCGTTGTGTCATTCGTCGTGTGATGGATGAGCCATCCGGCCTCGTTGTGTTTGTGTGGGAATCGGTGGCCGAGTGTCCCAACCGCCTGCCGCACGTAAGCTCTAACGCCAAGGGCGTGGAGATACGGGACTGTGGCTGGGGACTGCTACAACCATTACGGAGCTCTATAGGCGAGAACTCTAGCATTCTGCAGCTCTGCTCGTACCTGATGCCCCAGCTGTGTGGCGTCTCAGCAGAGCAGAGTCGGCAACATATTCACGGACTCGCCGAGCTGGTGGCGCCATGCTATCGGGGTTTATGGAGCAAGCGGCAACGCAATGTGGAGAATACACTCATGAACGGCGCCATTAGCGCCAGGAACAGCCATAGCGCGCTTAATGTAAAGCTCAAATAAGAGGCAGCGCGATAAACGAGCTGCTAAAGTGTAGCATCAGTTTTGAGGGAATAACTATGACAAGGATAAAGTATGCAACTGTGAAAAACTTGAAGTGTTTTAAAATCGTCCAGGAACGATTATGGATGCTATTGGATTACGTACTTCCAGGTTGACCAATTGTTTGGCCTGCCAAACAATTCAGGTATCGTGCCACAAAAATTTCCCAAGAATGCCAGCGTCTGAGATGTAGTGCAATAGTTGGATCATCTGCTCTTCGAGAGCTCGAGATGGGCCAAAGCTGTCTCCACCGCAAAAGGATGCGTATTTATGCACTGTATCTATGGGTAGGGTTCTTCTCCTATGTTAAGCACCATATAATTATTATCGACACGTTAATAACCGCGCGTATATCTGGACTAAAGGTATCTATCAGTCAAGAGACGATATCAGTTAAGGTTGTATTACTTTAGGTCGTATAGGGTCGTTGAAATTATTTACCAGTTAAGAGAAGTTATCAATTAAGGCACGGATTTCTGTATTCCGATAAACGGCGGACGAAATACTCTAATACCAAATATCTGAGAATGCGTTGCAGGAACGTCATGGACGACATAGATCACATGTCACAAAGATTACGCTTACTAATTGTGCAGAGATTACGCTTAGCGCACGATTTTATTTTTTTTCAATTTTAAGAATCAAGTCGCTGTCAGAGGAAGTAGTACCGGCTGAAGCAGGACACCCGATGTGCCATAGGCTTATCGGTATCCTCTTCCAAAAGGCAGGCACACATATCTGACTAGCGACTGGTTCGCAAAATGGCTCGAAGCGTGGGTACAAAATGAGATATAAATTGTTGCTGGGAATGTGTTGTACGTAGCCTGCGCTTGCTACAAACACCACCAAGTGATGATTTGTCGCAATGTCGCGTTACAGTGAAATTTATAGACGGTGTGGGTGTTGCCGCTTGATGAGAGAGCACAGAAGTGTTTTTGTCCGAGAATGTGAGACAGCTGAGATCCGGATACTTTCCATTGCGAATGAAAGCTACGTCGTCCTAGCTCACTCGATTACTTTGTGGCCTGCTCATGTGGCCGCGTAAGCCATCTGTTTCATGTGTGCAAGGGCAACTGGATGGGCTGGTGCACTTGTATCCTCTACCATCATTAATTGATTGGCTGTAAGGTCACCTGCGTCTATCTGGTTCAAGGATTGACTGCGACACCAACAAAAACCTATTCGACAGTCCTGTTGGGAACGACGCTGTTATCCTGTTCCGAACGATGTCCTTTATATGACTTACCACCTTTTACACGTCTGCATTCATATATTCTCAGAATATATAAATGGATCTCGAAAATATATATAGCACATGTTCGTTTCATTCAAACCAAAACGACCTTCTTCATTCACTTCTATATCCTTGGCGCGGATCCATGCATCTTGGAGTAAACCATCTCATCAAGGATAAAATTCTCGAGCATCTGCTCGCGAGCTTCAAGAATCTTATGATAGGACGGGATCACAACGTTCGAAAGCATTTCCAGGCATTCCGGTTCGTTCATGTCAATAGCCGCCGACAAACCAGGTGTCATACAGACAACGGTCTTTATAACAGTCAGCGAGGCAGCAAGTCCGGTCTTGATGTGGACGTTTTGGATTACACAGTAGCCACGCTCCCTAATTGGGACGCTGCTAGGGTGACTTTGGAGGTAGTCCTTGGGCCAGTCCCCCGTCCCTTCCCAGACGAACACGATGCGATGTGGTTCTACAAAGCGTCGACATACACCGCGTATCAGCACAGAGATGCCTGCAGTGCAGAATGCGTTGTCCTGTAGCAGACACTCTCTTTTGACGTACATGACACTGTCACCTCCTTCTTTAATAGCTGGATCAGCTGTTCCCATATTCAACACGGAGCTCTTCTTGGCAACGTTCCACATGGCTCGACTAACAGCATCTAGTGTAAAAGGCACCACTTTAGCTCTTGCAAAGCGCACGAATGTGCACTGATGATCATCTCCCGTGACGACACGTGCGTCGCACAAGTCCGTCTCGTTTTCTTCAAGTCCTGCGGCTATAAAAACATGCGACAGGTGGTCAAACTGATCGTCAACTCTCTTTTTCATTAGCTGGTACAAAGGGGCGTCAGTGCTCGGCTCGTACTCGAGCTGAGTGTAGTTTGACAAGTTCATGAATCCAGAGGTGACATCCCACTCCGTCTGTTTCGGACAAGCTTGCAACATGCTGTCGAGATGATTAATGTGTGTCGTGGCTTGAGATTTCTCTCGCTTCTGGGCGGCTCCGAGTCTTTTCTTGAGGTCCTTCACGTCCGTTTGAATCTCGTCGTCTGGACGGTAAACGCGCTGTCTTTTGACAGGAGCAGCGAACGGGCTATTGAGTTTATTACCTACAGCCATCTCGTACTTCTTCATATTTTGCTCTAGAAAAGCGGCCAGGAAAGCGTCTCGCTTGGCGTTTATAGGTGACGTCTCTTGGGTGAAAATGGATGTGTCGGCGAGATTTCGAAATTCAGAATAAAGTTTGTTAGCAGACATGAATCAGGGAATGAACAAGCAGCACGTGAAATGAATTGTGCTGCATAATGTTGCACGACCAAAAAAGATTATGGCACCTCCACGCTGTTTCAGCTTTCATGATTACGCTTGAATCACGCGACGACGATTGGCTAAGTAGAGATATCAGCGGTTTAGATTTTAAATTTCAGATTTGAGTCATATTAACATCAAATTGGTAGCTCTGGAAAGGCCAAAATGCGTGCGCAATCGTCCGATTTCTACCACCATCGCTCAATCGAAACATCAGTTTCAATGACCTAGACAGGGCAAATGTACAGTTTGTTTTGCAGTTTATTGAAAGTATGAGTGATTAGAATTGGCATAAAGTATGTATAGAAGTAAGCCACAAGTAAAGCTAATTCTTATGTCTAACGATGACATAAAATAGTAATCTTCACTCTGCAGTATCGTGGACTAATTGCGGCATTTAAGCTTGTCCGTCATCAGCGCAAGCACAATTGGGCTGCAAATTAAAATTACATACGGGGCGCCACTCTGGCTGTCCTCGCCCACACAGATGTCACAACTGATCGACAACGGTGTTCAAAAGAGCAATTCAACTTGGGCTCTAGTCACGCACAGATGAAAGCTTATTATGTTTATAAAGAATCTTAGGGTGGGACCCTCAGTTTGATTTTTCTCGCCAGCTTTTATTTGAACTACAATTTAACTGCTCAAGTTGTCACTTTTCGCAGCTGCAACATTTTTTTTATACAGAAACAAGGTGTATTCGCATTGAAAGGGATGACGCCCAGCGCCATCTCAGGATCATGCAACATTTACCAATCAGAATGCAAAAGAACGAGCATGACGTACGGACAGATGAACAACCCTTTCTCACTCCCCAATTTGCGGCGCAGTGATCAAATCTGGTCACGTTGGAGTATAAAAGGAACGGTCTTCACTGGCTTACAAGAGAGAGCGTAATGAGGCCGCCTCACCTACCTCCTCCGGGAGGGGGGGGATGAAAAGGCCGAGTCGACAACGACGACAGGGAACGGCCCAGCCAACGGACAGGGCGTCGTCGACGACATACTGGACGACAGCTCAAACCGAGGCGCAGTTCTGGCGGCAGTGGCTATTCGGAATGACAACGGCGCCAAGGGTGCCGTGGAACCTGGTGGATCCATCTTCTCCGGCCAGGCTGTATCTCCGGCATCGGAGGTTACGGGCCATGGTGACAGTGAATCTACCACGCCTCATCATCCGGTAGAGCCGAGCAGCAGACATGCGCAACAGAAACAGGCAGTGACAGTGAAGGGTCCACCCGATACAAGGGAGGCTTCATCGACAATAAGGGGGGCAGAGGATCCAAATGACAGAGCTGGAGGATCTGTTGCCGCAACCCAGCCAGCACAAACCGGCAAATCACCAGGAGCGCAGGCGCCAATTCCGCTACACGCAACGTCGGCGGAAATGTTTACGGCTCTAGTGGAAGACATGATCGACTCGCCCAATGTGGGACAGGTCGACGCATGGTGCACGACAGTGCGACAGTTGTTTGCGGACATATACAAGACAGTCCCGTGTAAAGCGGAAGCACTGCCTACTGAAAGGAAACGCTTTCCTACCCTGAGCGTAGCGGAGACGGCAAGTCTGCTGGGCCTGTTTGAGCAAGTCTTTGTTAAGGGCAAGGGGAGCTTTGCGGAGTGGAAAATCATGGCAAAGGCCATCACGCATGAATTATTGACTACAAAGTGGGCGTTTAAGGAGATTATCCGCCGTCTAGCCAGCAAGCATAAATGGGCTCATGCCCCCGTTCTGAACCAGTGGACTCAGGTAGTCCAACATGGAGAGTCATTACCACGTCGGCAACCGGAGCGCGCCAGTTCTCAGACCTTTGATGATTTCATGTTTAATCCCGAGAAGTTCACATGCGCAGAAATTGAACGATTCAAAGCGATGTGTGCAGCGCCCGCAGCCCCGGCAGGACATCATCAAGTACGGGCAGGTACTGATGATGAATGGGCGATAATCGTCGGGTTGGTTGAAGGCACGGTGGCATGTCGTCGTATGCCTGCCTTTATCAAACAAGTTCTTAAGAGTGAGGAACGGCTACGTCTGTACAGCACGATCCAGGCTCAAGTGGAAGGTGAACTAGTTTTACGGTTGGATAAATCCCGAGCGGTTAAAGCGAACAGGCAGACTACAAAAGCAATTACGGAGGCAATATTGGAGTCGGCGGAACTTGCACGGATCAATCTTCATGCGCTACATCGCATGTTAAGTCAAACGAAGACGATAAGCTACGACCAAGTCACGAAATCGATTCACTTTTATTTCTTTACTAGGGAGACGGCAGAACACCACAAAGAGGTGCGAGTACCGTATTACGGTGGCGTGTACCAGCTCGTCAATGCCCACAGGCCAGAGAAGGGGTCGGTTTGGCTTCGGCAGAAAGGTCTTAATGGGACACCTACCGGGCGACGGGTGGAATACACGGTGCAGTTGCACAACCTTACCCGATTTAATGATATTGGGCGAATTGCGGCCTATTTAAAGGCAAAGATTCCAACGGAGTTTGACATGGAAGATATGGATACGCATACCCCGGATTCTCGGACGTCTACAATTTGGAGAGTCACCTTCAAACTGGCAGGATGCCCGACATTTTTAAATGGGGTGGTTCGGGTACTTTGGTTTGGCACAACCATCATCGTTAAACACTCAAACGTTGGCCACCGCATACAATGCCTGCAGTGCGGAAACCTGGGGCACACCCTAGCGCGATGTCGGTTCACCGACGATCAGTTGCAGGGACCTGGTGGTATTGTGGTGACCGAAGCGGATGTTCTTGATCTCGCCGACTTAGCCAAACCGTTTTCGAGTATAGCAGAAATTAAGGCTATGGCGGTTCAACGGCTGAAGCTCCAAAAGGAAGCGGAAGGGGCGGCCCAAGCAGCTGTAACACCGACTCGGGCCGTCGACGTCACTGAGTCTTCTCCAGGGCACACTCTACCAGTGGTTCATGGGACGAGCAGCGCTCCTCAGGCAGAACAAGGAGCTAAGTATGTCCACCTGCAACCGGAACCATCCCCCCCGCGCAGCAACCGTGGCTCACGAAGGCAGACAAAGGGGGGCGATCACAATCACAGTGGGTAAAGAAAATGGTTGCAACTGCTGCCTCAGCATCAACGTCCGGAGTATATCAGGTGCTCATGGAGGACGACGACGAATCGGAAGGAAAAGTTGACACTAAGCGCAATAGCGTGGCGAAACCTTTGAAGTCACCTGTGGTCGATTTGACGACGGAATCTAATAAAGGACATGGCCACACCGAAAGGTCTCGTCTTTCATCCGACGACAAGCACCGAAAATCGGCAGCGACAATGCGCGGCCCAGCACCGGCTGCAACGGGACCCGTTATACTAACGCACAAGAAGAAAGAGAGAAAGACTTTTCAAAAGCTAGTCACCGGGGAGACGGTCACGAAATTTCCATCGCTGCCGATGGGCGCAAGATCGACAACTTCACCAGCAACATTGGCAGAGGTAGAAGTTCAGTTGGGAGTCCGTTCGGTCGTCACGCCGGCGACTGGAAATTGCATGGCTATGGCAATAGTACAGGCGGCAGCAGACGCAACTTTGGACGGACCAGGAAACACACTGGAGCTGCTAACTGCCAGCCTTAAACGAGGCATCAAATTTTCAGGGCTGTTAGATCTAGAAGGTCAACTCGCCCATGACCATCGAGTGCAGGCGCTTGCTAATGTTAAGCGAGGATGGACCTCCATGACGAGACAAGAGTCGGCCACACAAATGCGATGGTTCCTCGAGGATTTTGCTAACAGCTCTTCCAACAGAGCAGTGGAAGTAAGTGACGACACTTGGGGGGGAAGTGACACGGTCGGCATGGCAGCTAATTTTTTGCAACGGAAAATTTATATACTGCAGCAATCAGATGGCCCGAAACAGGGGTGGCAGTGCAAAAAATTTATACCAACCACGATCACACGCAATCGACGAGTTTTAGAGACAGCTGCGGAATATACACTGTCACTGATGGATTTAATAGACGAAGTCGTGGCAGCCAAGATCGAGAATCCCGGACAACCACCCCTGCTGCTGCATTTCTGGGGACGACATTACTCGGCGCTTCTCCATACTGGTCGCACCAGACAGCTCCCAGACTTTGCGGAGGAAGTGGAATGTAAGACTCCGGTTTCGACTGAGGACCTTCCTGCGGTAACGCACGCAAACTCGAGTAAGCCACACCTAGCGCTGAGGACGGCACCGGTGGATGCTCCGATGGAAGATCCATGGGACCCAGATTCTTGGAATGGTACACCAGACGCGGCTTGGGCCGCGTTACAGGGATGCTCGGTGCACCCCGATTTACACCACGATCTCCACGTGCTCTTTAGAATTGACGAGACAACGCGGTCTCGGGACCTCATTAAAGGGGTAGTAACGGCAGCTATGACAATGGCACTGCCGGCTCAGCAACAGTTTGCAGCGGTATTAAGGGGGGCGGAAGGCGAGGAGGCCGAACTCGCTCTAACTCAGCGCATGCAGATTACGAAAGAAAGGTTGAGGCTTTGGCAATGCCAGCTTCAAGCGGCGGGCCACATGGCTCTTAACCTCGACCGTCGCTGTTTTCCTCCGGCCAGGGAAATCGCAGGTTTACTGACAAATGGCAACGGTCCTCATGATATGTCGAACACAAGCCGCACCTCAGTAGGGGAGTGTCAAGCTCTGGTACAGCACCAACCTAAAGTGGGTCAAGATTTCAGTTCACTGGGCGTGCACGAGGTTTTACCAGCACTCCCCACCACGCCTCCGGCGGGGGTACGAGACACTTCAGATGGTGCTCGAAAAAGAGGCCATTTAGCCTCCCCAGACGAACGGATAGTAACTGGAACTGTGGTGCGACACCAGCACAATGATGCTATTTTAAAAAAAGGACGACACGACACAATTACGTCGCAGATCACAAATGTGGACGCCTCTGAGCGCATAGATAGAGATGATTGGGCAGCT